GCCAAATGGCCTCCTCTGCCAGTTAGCCTGTGGCTGACCTTCTCCTGCCTGTGGTCCCCCATTCTGCTGCCTCTGAATAGGTGCCCCATCTTTGTGAGCATCTGAACCACCCTTGTGCTTCTTCCAAGACTTTTGTCCCTAGAATTTGCCTTTATCATTCTATCGATGTCCATTGCCATTTCCTTTTTCAGCTGACAGCAGAGTCTCTATCACCCCGCTTCTCACCGTTGGCTTGTCTGAAGTCCACGGTATGGGTGTAATTTTTTACACCCAAACACCTAAAAAGATTGACTACGGAGAGCATACAGAAAAAATTAAGAAGGGAGCAAGCAAATCTTTGAGATAGTAGTAATATTCAGAGTTTCGTCCTCTTTACCTTTATTCAGGCTCTATTTATAAGTGTTTTTTGCTTAGGAATTTACATGGAGCCGTTTCTTGGCTTTTATTCCTAAACGTAGGTAATTTATGCCTACAAATCATGCATTTGACATTATTGCAGGCGTTATGGAGTTTGGGCCTTGTCAGAATTGGGTTTGTTAATTCTGCCTTTTTTTTAAGTAGGCCTTCCTTCGTTGGGCTTATGTTTTATTATAGGCTTCCAGCTTTTTGAACTTTATTGTGGGCTGCCTTTTGTCGCCACATGTTGTTTTACGATTGGCGTGATTTTTTTCCCTCCACACTTTGCCCCCGATTCCTTTTTATGAATTTGATTCATAAAAGGAATTGTAACCGTTTTCGGGAAGTGGAGAAGTTTTCGCGGCTATTACTGCTGATCATTACCATTGGTGCTGTCGATTCTGGGACTTCGTGTTTTCCCTTCCGTTATCCGCCCTTTTCAGCTTATATACTGTGTTTTCGTGATTTGGGCATCTGTATCTGTGATTTTGTTCTTGAGTTTTGGCGAGAATCTGATTGCTAGCTACTTCGACATCTCATTCCATCCGTTGAGGTTAGTCTTCTTTTCGTTCCATTTTTCTTATATTATGAGTTAAGAAAGTAGTGAACGAACTCATAGTGTTCACATGTCTGATTCTGAGTCGGGAACTGTGGCGGCGAGTCTGAGCGATTATGCTAAGGGTCCCATAGTCCTCCCTGCAGATATTGAAGAAAGGAAGTCCTTTTTTATTTCTCAGTTGAGAAAGAAGAATTGTGTTCCTTCTGACGTTACCCTTGAGGAGTACGACCATGATTTGAAATTTAGTATAGGTGAAGGTTTGGAGGAGGGCGAAATGCTTTTCTCAGCTTTGTATTTTCCCGCATTTTGATTCCCCTTAAATCCTTTTTATCTTCGGGTTTTATCGGTGTTGAATTTGGCTCCTCTTCAGGTTAACCCTAATTTCTTCCGTATTCTCTCCTGTCTTCTTGCTCTGAATAGGGTTCGAGGTTTAACCTTGAATCTTGCCGACTTTCTGTTTTGCTACTCGCTTAATAGGTTGAAAGGAGGTGAGGTTAGGTTCCACCTTCACTCTAGACCGGGTAGAACTCTTTTCTCTCACCTTAATACCTCTGACAAAGAGTGGAAGTACAAAATTGTTAAGGTCAGAGGGGCGTGGCGGTCTTCTTTTGTTCGGGATTTATTCATCCGATCCAGCTTTCATGCCCTATCTGTTCCCGCATTTGATGATTCGGGCGAGTCTTCTTGCTTTGTTTGTGTCGTAAAGTATTTTTGTTGTATATATGACTTCCTAGGTCACAAAACTGAATTTTTCTGTTTGAAATTTGCAAATAGTCATCTTGCCTACTTACAGGAAAGAGTTTGGAACAACGTTCGTTCTGCCAAGATCCTTCTCTCCTCTTCTCTTCTTGAGGTGATCTCAAAAGATCCTCCAGTAATTGCTTTAAATCCTGAAGAGCCCATTGATCTTGATGCCTCCGACTCTGAGGCTAGCTTATCGCCTACCCCTCTTACCTTCTCTCAATCAGTGATGGAACTTTGGCCTCCAAAACCCTGTATGACAAAGAAGAAGAGAGAGGTGGCCGCTAAGTTGTTACAAGAAAGGAAGAACCTTCTTGTCGAGGCGAGCAGGCTTTCTCCTTCTCAAAAACAAAAAGGGGCCCAATCAAGGACTAAGCGTCTATCAGCAAAGGATGATTCTTCTTCGCAGCATCCCAAGTTAATGGCTGGGGCCTTCGAAGCAAAAAATGCTTTGATTCCTGGCGCTACTGATGTCGCTGGGGGTGATTTTGCAGGGTCTATCGAGAAGTGGTTCCCCGAAATGATGAAGTATGATGGGTCCCCTATCACCATTGGTGACTCTAGAGCCAAAGACCCCGAGATGTTGATGGGTTTGGCTAGAGGGATGTGGCCTCCCAAAGATGAAATTTTACAACAACATATGAGCGTTAATGATCTGTTGTCCTTTGCTCCTAAATCCATAATGGAGGTAACCCTTTCTTATCCTTTTTTTTTTTTTTTTTTTTTAATTCCATGTTTTTGCACAGAGCTCTTTCTTAATGTTTGCTTTTATGAAGAAGCTCTCAGCTGACTCCCTTCGTGAACCAATTTGCTGCCCTTCAGAAGAGGGTAAGTGCTTTGGAGGCTTCTCTCGCCGAAGAGAAGAGGGAAAAAGCTCAGCAGCTTAAGTCAATTGAGTATTTCGACAAAAGAGCTAGGAAGCTTGAGGACAAAGCTGCTGAGCTTAACCTGCAGCTTGGGAAGGCAAACTCTCTTATTTAAACCTGCAAGGATGGGGGTTTGGAGATGTTTAACCGCTTTTCCCAGATTGCGAATCTCCGCTATGCCAAAGGCTTCAGGCTTGGTTTTGCTCAGGGGCAGCTTCCTTCTGAGGAGAGAGATTATGGTGATGCTAACGAGCACGATGCTGAACAGGGGCTCTTGGTTACAGGTGAGTATGCTCTACTGAAGGGTGAGGTGTCTGGCGAGGTTCTGCCTCCTTTCCATTACCCTTTAGGTTCTTAGGGATTACTTGCCTTGTCACTCGATACTCCTTCTTCCGTTCTAGCCAGAGTAGAGTTGGTTGATGCATTTATGCAGAGGTTCAATGCAAAGGGTGGAGCTGTGCCTGATGGTGATCCTGCGTAACTTCCCCTCCATTTTTTTTTTTTTTTTTGGAGGTGTTGGGTATGCCTTGCCTCTTTTATAAAAACCATCACCTACTTGTAAGAACATGAAGGTTTTCTTTTGATAATCTTTAGGATTGCTTTCGCTTACATTATTGCTTGTGATTCGATGTATTTGCTTACTTTACAATTAGAATTCGGGCATTAGGCATTTGGGGCCTTTGCCTATTTAGCGACTGGCTCTTCGCCTATTTTGCGATTGGCTCTTCGCCTACTTTGCGATTGTCTCTTCGCCTATTTCGCGATCGGCTCTTGGGGCAGTTCAGCTTTTCTGGTCTTGAGCGACTTATCCGGTCAAGTCTATTTGGGCGTTAGGCTCTTGGGGTCTTTGCCTATTCTGCGATCGACTCTTGGGGCTGTTCGGCTTTTTTGGACTTGAGCGGTTTATCCGGTCAATCCCGTTCGGGCGTTAAGCTCTTGAGGCCTTCGCTTATTTTACGATCTGTTCTTGGGGCGGTTTGGCTTTTTTGGACTTGAGCGGTTTATCCGGTCAAGCCCGTTAGGGCGTTAGGCTCTTGGGGCCTTCGCCTGTTTTGCGATCGGCACTTGGGGCTGTTTGGCTTTTTTAGACTGGAGCGGCTTATCCGGTCAAGCTCGTTCGTGCGTTAGGCACTTGGGCCTTCACCTATTTTACGATCGGCTCTTGGGGCCATTCGGCTTTTTAAACTTGAGCGGTTTATCTGGTTAAGCCCGTTCGGGCGTTAGGCTCTTGGGGCCTTCGCCTATTTGTAAGTCCGTCTTGAGTGTGTTGTCACGAGTTAACCTCTTTTTATTGGGCCTTCTTTGTATGGGCGTTCCTTTGCTGACGTTTAGAATTTAAACGATTTCTGTTTTATAGAAAACCCATTTTCTGTTTAAAGTGAGATAGGGATTTGAAGAGAAGTGACCTATCCCAAAAGAAATCAGGGAAGACCTTACATTACGGACCCCCTCTGATAATGAGCTGAGACTATCCGTGGGCCTCGTAATTCAGGGCCCTCCCCGGCTGATTGTATACCCAGCAGGTTATATTATAATAATAAGGGATTCTTTTCCTTGTTGACGTGGGACCGTACTTTCTAAAAAAGGGGAAAATATGTGGGGAGTGTATGGAGACCTCCGACAATGGGGCACTTTAGTGTCGTAAGTGGGGTCCCATTGTCAATGGGTCCCATACACTGATAGGAGGTAAGTGTGGATCCTTATAAAAAAAGGGTTAGATTCCACTTTTTGAACGATGTGGGACATCGTTTCTCGTAGGTGATAAGACCTTATTTGTGGTAAGATAAAAGATAAAAAGTGTGAAGTAGAGACCCCTGATGGTGGGTCTCGTTATGGGTCGCCTACCATCAGGGGGTCCACTTCACTGTTTAGATCTCGTGTTATTCCACTTTAAATAATAGTCAGAAGTTTTGTTTTTATTCGATGTGGGACAGTTGAAAAAAAGGCTGTCAGTAGCTTTATTTATTCAAGAAGTAGAGTACTGGAAAACACTATACGATTTACTTTATTGAAAGTACCTTTTCAGGTTCATTGCATTCCTCGGCTTGGTCATTTCGGTGCCATCCAAGTGTCAAAATCTGTAAGCTCCTTTTCCAATCACATCTGAAATTCGGTATGGCCCTTCCCAGTTAGGTTCCAATTTGCTGACGTACTTTTCTAATTTTAGGAGCACCAGATCTCCCAGATTGAAGCTTCTCCTTCTGACCCGTTTGTTATAACTATTTGCTATCTTCTGCTAGTAAGCTGCTAGCCGGATGGCTGCGGCTTCCCTTTTTTCTTCCAATAGATCCAGACTGTGTTCCAAAAGCTGATTATTTGACTTCTGGTTCCAAGTTAAGCTTCGGATGGTGGGTACCACCACTTCAGTAGGGATTACGGCCTCAGTGCCGTAAGCTCTAGAGAAAATGGTTTCACCAGTGGGACGTCTCAGGGTAGTTCTATATGCCCATAGGATATTTGGTAATTCTTCTAACCACTTCCCTTTTTTTATCTTTAAGCTTCTTTTTGATGCAGGCAAAGATCGTCCTGTTAGTTATCTCCGCTTGCCCATTGCCTTGGGGGTGGTATGTAGCTGACACTTTCTGGTTGATACCGTACTTGTCAAAGAAATGTTGAGTGTATTGATTATCCAAATTCGGCCCGTTGTCCATGATGATGGATTTTGGGATTCCGAATCTGCATATCAGGTTGTTCCAAACAAAATTTTTCACTTGGACATTAGTCACACTCACATATGCCTCTGCTTTTACCCATTTAGTGAAATAATCAGTGGCTAATAAGGCGTACCTTTTCTACGATGCCACCATTGGTAGGGGTCCTACCATGTCCATTTCCCACTGTGCAAATGGCCATGGGCTGCTCATGGTGTGTATTTCTTCCGGGGGTAGATGGACGAGGGGGGAATACCTTTGACATTTATCGCATCTGCGAGAGTATTCTTTTACTTCCCTTGCCATGTAGGGCCAGAAATAACCTTGAGTGAGAGCTTTATGAGCCAATGACCTACCCCCAGAATGATTCCCACACTCCTCTTCATGTATCTATTTTAGAACTTCTCAGGACTCCATTGGGGTCAGACATTTGAGGTAGGGTCTGGAATGTGATCATCTGAAGAGCTATCCTCCTACCACAGAATATTTGGAAGCTTTCATCCTTAGCTGCCGGGCTGCTTCCTTAGAATTAGGGAGTTTTCCTCTTTCAAGGTAAGCCAATGTTGGATCTATCCAACTTGGTTCCCATGGGATGACCAACACCTGCACTCCCCTTATGATGCTCGGTGTTTCTAGGACATCAATGGGGACGACTCTGGTGAGTGACTCATCCGCTAGGGATGCTGCATTGGCCAAACGATCAGCTACCGGGTTTTCTTCCCTAGGGATCTGCTGAAATTTGATTGTATCAAAGTACTTTGTCATTTTTTCAAATTCTTCTCAGTATGCATTCATTCTGCCCTCTCTGGTGGTGTACTCTCCTGTCACCTACCTTGTGATGAGCTGCGAATCGCTATAGGCTTTGAGGTGTTTTACTTGGAGTTCTTTGGCTAATCTGAGCCCTGCCAGCAGTGCCTCATATTCAGCTTCATTATTTGTGACTGAGAACTCTAGTAGGTCTGATTATTGGATTCTGGTCCCCTCGGGGGTTCTTATCTTTACTCTTGCTCCGGGTCCGTTTTGACTCGAAGAACCATCGACGTATAATTCCCAGCAAGGCTTTTCCGTGGTTTGATGTTCTTCCCCTAGGTTAATGTCCAAGGGAAAATCCACAACCACTTGCCCCTTTTTGGCGATGCGTGATTCGTACCAGATGTCAAATGAGCTTAATTCAATTGCCCATTTGGTGATCTGACCTGAGATGTCTGGTTTACTGATAAATGCTTTAATAGGATGTATTGTAGGAACTACTATCCGATGAGCCTCAAAATAGTGTAGGAATTTCCTTTTGGCTTGAATTAGAGCAAAGATGATTTTTTCTGCCATTGAGTACCGACTTTCTGCGTTGGTCATAGCCTTACTGGAATAAAAGACCGGGTGTTGCTTCTTTCTCACTTCTCTTACTAAGGCTGAGTTGGTTACTGACTGAGATATTGCTAAGTAGAGGTATAATGGCTCTTTGGGTTCTGGAGCAGATAGAATTGGGGGACTTGTCATGTATTCCTTGAGTTTCACAAGAGATTCTCTCTACTCCCTAGACATCTCCTTTTCTAGCTTTGATTGCGTCGAAGAACGGTTTGCACTTCTCTGATAGTCTGGATATAAAACGGCTAAGAGCCGCTACTCTCCTAGTGAGGATTTGGACTTTCCTCATGGTTCGGGGCTCTTGACTCTGTAGCAATTTTGCCAACTGAGTGGGACTTGCCTCTATTCCCCTTTTGCTCACTAGGTGACAGAGGAACTGTCCCAAGGACACTCCGAACGAACATTTTGCTGGGTTTAACATCATTTTATGTTTCCAGAGAGTATCAAACACATCCTGCAGGTGTTGCCAATGGTCTTTCTTAACTTTGTTTTTCACAACCATATCGTCTATGTAAGCTTCGACTGTTCGGCCGATTTATTCTTTGAACATTTTGTTGATCAGCCTTTGATAAGTTGCTCCTGCATTCTTCGTCCGAAGGGTTCATCAGGATTTGGTTGTAGCCCGAGTAAGCATCAAGGAAAGTCAGTTTTTCATATCCGGTCGTAGCATCTACCTGATCGATCTTGGGGAGTGGGAAGCTATCTTTTGGGCACGCTTTATTTAAGTTGGTGAAGTTAATGTATACTCACCATTTACCATTCTTTTTTTGGACAACCACCACGTTTGACAACCATTAAGGATACTGGACTTCTCTGACGAACCTTCTTCGGCAATGATTTTATTCCTTTCGGGGGCAAACCTTCTTTACTTTTGTTTCACCGGATGGTGGCTGGGGTCCACGTTCAGGCTATGACAGGCCATCTGTGGGTCAATTCCCGGCATGTCCCAATGATTCCAAGCGAATATGTCTGCGTTCTTCCTTAGGATTTCTACCAGCTCCTCCTTTCTCCTGAACTGACTGGAGAGTCCTTATGTAGGTCAGCTTGTGTTCGTCCCTTACGACTATCTGCATGGTTTCTAGGTGTTCTACAGTAAGATGCTCTTCTTCCGGTTCCTTCGTCTCTTTTGGAGGGGAAGAGCTCGGTAATTGCTATTTCAGTAATTTCTTGCCCTTTTTGAAAGGATAAATCGTTGTGTGGTAGCATTCCTTTGCTGTTACCTGGTCCCCCCAGATATCGATAACCTCTTGACCATTCAGGGTTATGCATCTCATAACTTGGTGTAGGGTTGATGGGACTCCTTCCATGCGGTGGATCCATCCTCGACCCATTAGCAAATTGTAGGTTGGGTGCATATCCACAATCACGAAGTTCTCTTTCAGAGATCTTTTAGTAGCAGTGAGTGATAGCGTGATCACTCCTGTGGGCTCCATTTTTTTCCCATCGAATCCTACCAAAGGACTTTTAGTGGGATGAATCTGGTCTGCAGCCAATTTTAACTGATCGAACATCCACTTTGTCATGATATTAGCGCTACTGCCAAGGTCAATCAGCACTCGTCTGACCAGACAGTTGGCCACTAATAGACTAACTACTAATGGGTCTTCGTGTGGGTGTTGCACCCTTCTGAGATCCTCTCTATGAAAAGAAACTTATGCTAGATTGGGTTTACAGTCGACGGTATTGATTTCCCCAATCCTCCGCAGCTTATGGGCTTGTTTGAGCTGGATCCTGTAGGAATTTCCTGATTACTCATCTTCTTCCGGACGGCCATGAATTGTGTTAATTACCCGGACAAGATGGCTCTCTACCAAGGCTTTTGGAATTGCCCAGGCTCGATCTTGCTACCTTTGTTGCCCCGGGGTAATCAAGTATTCAGTTAACTCGCCCTTAGCTATTAACACTTCCACCTGTTTTCTCAAGCTCCTACAATCATTGGTCAGGTGACCAAAATCACTATGGAATGCACATTGTTTATTCTGGTCTCTTTGCTCCATTGGCTGTCTAATTGGTGGTGGGATCCGAAAGATGTTTCTTGCATTGGTCTCTTGGTACAGTTTGGCCAGTGTTACTTTGAGCGGCATGACCCTTTCGGTTGTTCGGGATTTCTTTTCAGGGGTTCGTCCCTCAATAGTCGGGGGTTCCCGATAGGCCCTCGGGTGCTCGATCGCTCCTTCGGTCGATTCTCTACTGTAACCAGTGTCACTCTCTACTGCCTAGTCACTTCATTTTCTTCAAGTCTGATATGGTTTTGTGCCCGTGAATTCAGCTCCGACATGTCAGTTGGAGTTTTCTTCACCAAAGAAGAATGGAAATGTGAGCCTTGCACCATAGCTATCTTGAACGCTTCTATGGTTGTGTCTTGATTGCAATCTGGCATGACCGAAGACTCTATGTTGAATCAGGTAAGGAAGGTTTGCAGGTTTTCTCCCTTCATCTGCCGAATCGTAAAGAGACTGGCAATGGTTTTCTTCTATTTTTTATTTCCACAATACTGGCCAAGAACGCGACGCATAGTGATTTGAAGTTTGGGATCGACTTGCACAGGCGATTCTTAAACCACTTTAGGGCCACCCCCGTCAGGCTAGATGAAAATATTTTGCATATGAATAGATCATTGTGAGCCTCTAGTATAGTGGTTGAGGTGCTGGAGGGGATCTCCAGTCCCATTGAATTTAATGAACTTGGGCATTGTGAATTTCTTGGGTCTTACGACTCGTTCTATCTCATTTGTGAAAGGGGTTTTCACTATTGATGTAGTAAATTCTCTTGCCATGTCTTCAGGTGTTTGGACCTTTAGCCCTTTGATTCGTTCATCCATTTCTTTCCAGAGTCTGGTGATAAGGTCATTCCTCGAAGACTGCTGATCAGCTGCTGGGGTCCACACTTCTTTTCTACCTAAATCCGCGACATCTGATGGATGGGCTTTGGTGATTCGAGGCCCCCCAATATTGGAGTTCCCCGAGGTGCGGGACTAACTTGCGGCATCATGGATGTCCTCCAACGTTCCATTGAGATGTTGGTGTAGAGCCTTCTGTTGGTGAGGTAGATTATCATTGCCTGGCTCCATGGGTGAATCTTCGTTCTGACATTCGGGCCAAGGGTCTTTCGGCTGTTTATTCCGCCGAGCGTTGCCTCGGAGTCTTTCATTTTCTCTGCGTAGAGTGTTGATTTGTGTACGCTGGTTTCTTGAGCCTGCCTTAGCATATTGATTTGCTCAGGCTGGCTTCATTTATTTGTCGTAGGATGTTCAATTGCGCTTGCATCTCTTCGCGTATCTTCTGCATGGTCTCCTATTGTTGCGGTTGAACAGTATCTGGCTCTATTGCCATTCTGGAGTGATGCTGTATACAAGGGATAGGGAACAGACTTTTTGTATCGATGTTCCCACTGATGGCGCTAAAGCATGGGTGCAATTTTTTACACCTGAACACCTAAAGAGATTGACTATGGAGAGCACACAGAAAAAATTAAGAATGGAGCAAGCAAATCTTTGAGATAGTAGTAATATTCAGAGTTTCGTCCTCTTCACCTTTGTTCAGGCTCTATTTATAAGTGTTTTTTGCTTAGGAATTTATATGGAGTCGTTTCTTGGCTTTTATTCCCAAACGTGGGTAATTTATGCCTACAGATCGTGCATTTGACATTATTACGAGCGTTATGGAGTTTGGGCCTTGTCAGAATTGGGCCTGTTCATTTTACCGTTATTTTAAGTAGGCCTTCCTTCATTGGGCTTATGTTTCATTATAGGCTTCCAGCTTTTTTAACTTTGTTATGGGTTGCCTTTTGTCGCCACGTGTTGTTTTGCGATTGGCGTGATTTTTTTCCCTCCACACACGGTTAACTGATACTGCTATAAAGCAGCGTCTACCACTTAAGCATATATAGTATAGGCTGGACAACCAGTAATAGATCGCTTAATAAACCACATGAGTCCCTTAACGAAACTATTTTGCTTCTTTTCCTCTATATCCACCACCTCTGGAGCAAAAAAAGATAAGCGCATGAACTGCTGCTCATACTCTACCACTATCATGTTCCCCTATTGCAGATTAAGGAACTCCGTCTTCATAGCTGCCTTGACTGCATAAGGAAAGTACTTGTCATCAAAGCGAGCACTGAATTAATCATAAGTCAATGAAGTCCTCTCTTCTGTCGTGATAGCTGACCCCCACCACTGTAATGCATCCCCGACCAGCTTAAATATAGCAAACATCTGCTTTTGAACCTCCGTGTACTGAACTAATCAAAGATATCGCTCAATATCCTTCTTCTACTGATGAGCTGCTTTCACATCGGTGGAGCTTGTGAACTCAGGTGGGTTCCCCTTTGTGAAAGAACTCCTGGCCTTCTCCCAAGAATCAGTCGGAACCACTGGTGCTGGTATCGATGCCTGCTGA